GAGAAGACTTCCCTATTTAAGGGTCATTTGGGATCAGGTGTCCTAATATCCTGGGTTACTTTCCGTTGGGTATATTAGATAACTCTGGTGGCAAGGGCAGTTGAGAAATTTGGTGGGAAGCTGGGGTTCAGACAGGAGTCCAGGAAGGGTCCCCTCATCTGCCTTGGTCAGCCCTGGCCAGGCCCAGGCAGCAACCAACGATGGATTGACAATGGACTCCGAGGTGCCTGTGCTGGTGGCTGAGGCTGAGCTAGCTGCAACAGGGGAATATTTAAAGCCCCCAAGAGAGCCTGGCCTGCATCTCACAGGATACACTCTATTAGGGAAGCAAGGACGTGATTGCCATGCACAGGAGAGGATGAGGAACCTTCCCTGAACCAGCCTCCCCAGTACCTGAGCTCTCACCATAACAACACATCAAAGCCGAGTGACTGGGCTGGGATGTTACAGAACACATGGGGGAAACTGAATACTACCTCGGCTGTGTTTCCAGGCAGAGCAGGTTCTGTTGGGTTTGTTAAGGACGTGCACACAGCATGTGGTTCCCTGGAGCGGACAATTGTCTCATTGCTTGGGCAATGGACAGTTTAAGGCTAAGTTAGTGTCTAGGATCATTGGGTCCAAGGACTTCTGAGTTTGCTGCTTGAGACCTAATGTCTCTTGGAAGTCTCTCAGGGAGGTGGCCAAGGTGGCAGCGAGATGGGTCTTCTCAAATACCTTGCTCTTAAGTCAATTCTGAGCAGGCTTAAGAGTTTCCACACACACAGCGTGAGGGGGATGATCACTAGGCACTTGAGATATGCAGGATCGAGCTCCTGTGGTCCCTCATGTGTTATTTGAGGAGAAGTCCTAGGGAGACTCATGCACATTTTAAAATGTACCTCTCTCCACTCTCCTCCACCTTCTAGTGAGGTAGATGGGATAAGGTTTCTGGAAATGAGAAAAGAATACAGTCACTCCAGAGGCAATAAATACCTATGGTGAAGTTGCTGAACCCAATGTGCAGGCCAGGCAGCCCCTGCCGCCATGGGAGGGTTGTGTGCAGCGCTGGTCCAGCAGGCTGGGTGCTCAGGGCCTCCCCTGCAGCTCTGCCTGAAGGCAGCAGGCATTGGGCAGGCACAGTCCTATGAAGGACTGTTGACAGTGGAGTGAGAGGTGAAGCATCTCCCTCAACCTTAAGGAAGGAGGAGGCATCTGAAGCCTTGCTAGGGGTGGTCACTGTGGCAGAGCAGTGGGGTCGGCTGTCCCTTTGAGGAAGCAGTGAGTTCCTGATGTGTGGCAGGCCTGGGAACTTTAGCATTGGAGGAAGTGAGCAACAGTCTCATCCCAGCATAAGAAAAAATTTGGGCTGCTTAGGGAGACTGAGGCCCTGGTGATGGTTTTAGTTTCTGGGGAATTAGTAGGTGCCTGGAGGGGCCCAAGGATGAGGTGATAGGGGCAAAATATGAAGGGGTGTATATGCACTGGAGGAAGAACTCTGGGTTCTGGTAATGCCCCGTGTTCTGTAGAATTGAAACCTGGACCTGCTTCCTGTGCACAGGAAGTCCACACACTCCACACACTCCAGTCCACAGGCATTTCCCCAGCACTGCATGAGGGTTATCACTGGAGAGGTGGTTAGATTTGGGCATGGGATTATTACAACAGGTCTCCTGAGTCCATAGTTTTTGCATAGCTTCTAGGCCAGCCTTACAATCTGACTGAGGCTCTATGGATTCCTTGCACCATAAAGTAATGGGATTATACTGCAAGCAAATGGTGATCTCAGCAGAATCCCACTCTAAGGAGGTCATTTTTGGGGTAATCAGCAAAGCATGAAGTCAGGGAAACAGTAAGGCAAGGTTTTGGGTAATGGATGTGAGCCAGCGCCATGTCCTGGAGATGGCGAGGTCCGTACCTGTAGCAGTAAGGAGAGGCTGTTTGGTGGCGACCTTGTGATCAGAGTAATTTTCTTCTACAAGGGATTTAAACAAATAAGTCAGCAAAAAAGAAATTACCCCTTTAAAATGTGTGCCAGGGCATGAACAGATACTTCTCTAAAAAAGACGGACAAGAGTCTGACAAATATATGAAAATATGCTTTATATTACTGATTATTAGAGAAATACAAATTAAAACCTCAAGAGATATTACCTCACACTAGTCGGAAGGGCTGTTATTAAAAAGTCCAAAAATAACAGATATTGGCAGGACTGCATAGAGAAGAGAATGCTTATATACTATTGGGGGATTGTTAATGAGTTCAGGCACAATGGAAAACAGTTTAGAGATTTGCCAAATAACTTAACACAGAACTTGCATTCCACCAAACAATCCCACTACTGGGTATATATCCAAAGAAAACAAATCATTCTGCCTAAAAGACACATGCACTCGTATGTTCATGGCAGCATCATTCACGATAACAAAGACATGGAATCAACTTAGATGTCCATCAGTGGTGGACTGAATGAAGAAAATGTGGTACATATACATCATGGGATGCTGCAGTCATAAAAGGAATGAAATTGTGTCATTTGCAACAAGCTGCAGTCATAAAAGGAATGAAATTGTGTCATTTGCAACAAGATGGATGCAGCTGGAAGCCATTATTCTTAGCGAATTAACACAGGAACAGGAAACCAAATATCGCATAATCTCACTTATAAGTGGGAGCCACACAGTGGGTACTCATGGACTCGTGAACATAAAGGTGGGAAGAATAGGCAGGAGGAACTGGGAGAGGGACCAGAGAGGGAGGGGTCAAATGTTGTAGTCCTGCCTACTGTGTAGTATGCTCTCTATCTGGATGACAGGGTAAATTGTACCCAAACCGTCAACATTGTCCTATAGATCCGCCCTATACATGACAAACCTGAACATGGACACAGGAATCTAAAATAAAAGTTGAAAAATAATGAAATTCCTTGATGTGTCTTGTTCCTATGAAGCAGATGTCTCTCCGGGTGATCTCTTGGGCAGGGACGCTGTTGTCTGAGGTAGTGGCCATCCCGGTGGTGGTGGTCTTCCCAGATGGTCACACGAGAAGTTATGTGGTTCTGGGCATTCCGTTTACTGCTGCTGTTGCACAGTCTGACAGCTCCTGTGTGTCTGGTTCAGCAGCAGCCGTACCAGCAGCACCCAGAGTGATTTCAGGAGTTCAGGGAGCACAGAATGTGCTGCAAGTGGCTCCGACTCAGTGGTGGCTCCTGGTTCTGCCTTCTTCACCCCTAACCTGGTGTCCTGATGTCCTTCCCTCCCAGGCTTGGCTGCAGCGGTGGGTACTCCAGGTTAGTGCGTGGCACTCCATTCCCGGGACCCATTGGGTTCCCAGCCTGTGTTGAGGCTGCACCTGTTTCTTGTCCAGTGGCTTTCAAACTTTCATCCCAAATTACACAGAGATTCTTCTCTTGCGGTCCCCTTCACATTTCTTTTTGGACTGCCCTAGAATCTAAGCAGAACACTGGAGTTTCAACCAACAGGTGTTTTGTCTAAAAACCTTTGCAACACTTTCTCTTCCATGTTTGTGCATAGTCCTCACCCCCAACCCGATTTTCCCATTCTTTCCACCAGTGTCAACACCTGGTGACAGTAGACATGGCTTAAGCTGCTCTTTCATACACACACATTTGAATTTCCAGGGAATATTGAAGTGAGTCTGAACTCTCCATAAGAGCCTTGTCATCATCAGGTTGGAGCAAATATTCTGGAGAGGCTGTTGCTGGGGGTGCAGGTGTGGGCATGAGGGGAGAGAGGCCTCCAGGAGCAGCAAGGATAGTCCCACACACGCTGAGGCTGTCCGGTGGCCCCAGCAGACACAGTGTGTGTGGACCTTGTGCAGGCCCCTGGGACATGGTTTGGACCTAATGGGGAAGGGCAGTCGTGGAACACGGTGTGTGTGTTAGTGTGGGTCAGGGCGGGGTTGCATTGGGGTGAAATCTGAGGAGGACCATGACTTTCCAGCTCCTCACAGTGCACCTCCCTGTCCCTGCCCTCAGTTCTTTGTCCACCATCCTGCAGGGAGGGTCCTGGTGCTGCCAGTGCCACACAGAGACTCCCGGGCCTGCAGATCCAGCTGGGACATGCAGGAACTCCAAGTTCCCTGCAGTTTGTTCAACTTTTCCAGTTGCCTCTCACAGGTTGTCTATGTATCTGGTGTTGTCGTCTGCAGCAATTTTACAATAAACCATGAAGGAATAACTTCCTTGAACTGTTTTAAAAAGTGGCCCTAAATCCCTGACTCTTTTCACATAAGAATGGAGGTGAAATTCTCTCCTGTTGAATCTAGCTTGGGTGATACCTTGACCAGTAGAATACAGCTGACTTTGCACCGTGCCATTTGCTGGGCTCAAGTCATGAGAAGTTTTTATCTTTCACTTCCTCTGTATTGGATGGTGCTGCAGGCTGAATGTTTTTGTCCCTCTGAAATTCATATGTTAAAATCCCTACCCCAGGTGATAGCACGAAAAGGTGGGGCTTTCTGGGGGATGATGAGGTCAGGAGGGTGGAGTCCTCATGAATAGGATTAATGCCCCTGAGGAGAGTCCACAGAGAGCTCCTTCATTCCTTTCCTCAGGTGAGGAAGCAGTGAGAAGGTGCCGCCTATGAAACGAAAAACTGGTCCTCACCAGACACCAAATCTGTTGGCACCATGATTTGGACTTCTCAGCCTCAAGAACACTGAGAAATATATTTCTGTTGTTTATAAGTTATCTGGTATACAGTATTTTTTTCCGGCTCCCCACATATACTAAGATTGCTGGTGCCTTTGACGCCCAGATACCATGATTGGAGGAAGTCTAAGCATTGCAAAAGGAGAGGAACTGAGCCCAGTTTCAAGGATGAGCTAGAGAACCCAGAGCAACCAGCTTTCTAGGAAAAAGAAAACTCTGATATGCAGTGTTTGTAAATCTCTCTAGTTCAAATCCTCCTAGCTCTGAGTGGGATATAAAGTGTCACACCTATCTTCTGTGTCATGAGCTGGCATGACCCGGCCTTGGTGCATCACAGGGTCTCATCCCTCAACCTGTCAGAACTCCCACTGAGCCAGCCCAGCACTCCCTCTTCCTGTGCACAAGCATCTTGGCCATGAGGTTTTCAGATCCCAGCAGCACCTCTCCTCCGATGCCTGCGATGCCTGTGGAGGGAGCCATGTCCCAATTACAAATATGTGAGTGAAGACCTGATCGTGCTGTTTTAATCCATTAACTTTTGTGTGGTCTTTCATACAGTCCTAGATGAACAGAGGGCATTTCCACAGTATTGGTGAGGAATTGCATTTGTACATATTTTGTGTGTATAAATCTCAACTTCTCTAAAATATTGATGAAATAGGAGGGAATTTTCTCAATTTTTTCTCAAAGTGTCACAAAGAGCCCATTGTGGTGGGGGCATGGAATTGTGAACTCTATGGAGTGACTGAGGAACCCCCCTCTCCCATTCTTAGTGTGAATTTTTACTGTGTGGAGCAGGGGTAGTGTGGGATCCGGGTAGAGTCTCAACCTCTCCCCTCAGTGACAAACTCAGAGGAGGGCATGGGACTCGGGAGTTGGCTGAAACAATGGAGAGAGAAGTAGGGGTTTTCTCCCTGAGATCAGCAATGGAGGCTGTGGGGAGACAACCACAATTCACATGGCTGCCACCTGGGGAGAGAACCCAAGTTAAGATCAAGAGAGAAATGGGGGAATAACAGGTAAAGACAACAAGATCACTTAGGCTTTGAGTCCTTCAATGAGGGACTTTATGAAGCCAGAATTCTTTCTTAATTTTCAGGTGTGGCAGTGAAAATGTTAACTCAGTTTGTTGTGGTTTCTTAAATTTGAATGCAAAACTCAACTAATATGCCTGAAAATGATATAAAAACATTACCTAGCTCAGAGAATCTGAGTTAAAGACAGTACAATGCATAAGAAGAGGAAATGAGGGCAGATGACAGGTGTCCCGGGTGCAGCCTGGGGAACAGACTCCCGGGTGATTCCCATGCACATTTCTGTGGGAGAACAGCCTTACTGGTTCTGATCAGCAGGGAAAGAGGGACGGCTATGGGAGAGGCTGGAAGGAGAGCCGGTGAGTCAGCGACTGGGACCTTCATACTTGAGATTGAGAGATGGAGGAATTCCAGGTGGTGGCAGGGCCATGGGGTGGAGGGCTGGAAGAAAGGTGGGGATCACTGTCAGCCAGGAGGATACAGCATTGAGAGGTTGGGAGGGTGACTGAGAGGAAATGTTAGAGTGAACTCTTTCCCTTAGGTTCTTCATGAGTTGTTTGTTTCTTAGTGAAAAAGGAAAAAAATTCAGGTATTCCTAAAACAGAATGAGTACTTTTCAGATCTCTTTCCTTCTGGGTTTGCTTGTAAGCCGAGTTTAGAAAATCAGAAAAGAAATAACAAAAGAAACCTATTTCATTTATTGTACAAAAAAAAATTCACCAAGACGTTTTAGAAACGTGAAGGAAGCGCTTATTGAAGACTGGTGAAATAGGAATCAGAAGGTTGCAGTAGGGAGAGCCGTTGGCATCAACTTCCCTGAAGACAAAGGCAGGAAAGGTTAAACCCTGGGTAAGCTAGGGGAAATGCACTGGAGGTCGGCACCCACTCTGTCCTCCCTGCTTGGCACCCACTCTGTCCTCCCTGGGTTCTGCATGAGCTTCCCCATCCATGCGGTGTCTCAGTGGGGTGCCTGGAACCCTGAGCTGCCTCAGCACCCTGCAGAAACAAGAAGGCTGCCGTGTTCCTGGTGAATCGCCTGGCCCCTCATCCCTTCTCTCCTCTGGAAGCTGTGTTTTCCAGGCAGAATCAGGTTCTCAGAGGTGTTAAGGCAACACAAGAGCATGCGTGTTGCAAAGTGCAGTGGAGCATTTGTGCGTGTGCATTTTGTGAGTGTGAAGATGACTTTATGGGTGTGAAATCCAGGTCTTAGTAGACATGACTGGAGGGTGCTCTTAATGAGGACTTCTGGTGTGGGCTGTTGCTGTACCATTAATCCCACCTTGCTAACAACTAATTTCCCCTCTCTTAAAGTTGTTTCAGTGGGATCTCCTGTAGCCTCTATGTCTTAAAAAGGCAAATGTGTGACTGGGACGCGTCGATAAAACTCCAATTGTTCAGTACAGAGCATGTTGGTTTTTCTGAGGAGGAATGATTTTGTGACTGCATGAACTTTAAACTGACAATGATTGTTTGCCCAGCACATGGCAGCTCTTTGAGAGTGGATCCAGAGACAATGAGGCAGAGTGAAAATACAGAGCAGTGGATGGGGAGATTGATGGTGTGATTTGGGCCTTCTTTACTCTACTTAAGTCTGAAGCCCAAAATCCTGCTTGAAATTCCTAGAATGTGGAATGTTCTCTTTGTTTAAACCTTAGGATTCTGGAAGGCATCCCAAGTGTCTTGAGGCACAAAGGCACATCAAAGGTGAAAGAGATGTAAAGACAGAAATCTTGCGATAAGGTATTTATTTGGGATGAGAAAAGGAAACTGAGGAGAAGGTACACAGTAAAGAATTTTGTAACTCTCAAAGTAACTTCTGAGTGGGTATTTTCTTGATTCTGGAAGCTCACTGGCAGCAGATCCGGTGGAGCCAACCACGAAAAAGCTCAGGACCCAAGGTGACATTATAACAAACGGCAGAATCTCGCAGTAAACGCACTCAAGCCTTTCGCTGACTCTGGGGACACAGAGAGAGCATCGTAAATGGATCAGAAGGTAGCAGTGGGTGGCAAAGGGAATCCTGGAGAAGTCATGTGCTAGCTAATGAGGGATGTTGGCTGCATAAGGGCCGGTAGCATGAACAACTTCAGTCAATAAGAATAAATACACAGAGCAAGTGCTATCACGCAGGGATTTGAGACTTATTCTCATTTGCTTTCATTTTTGTGTTTCTGCCCCATCAGACACACACCTGAACGCACTCTTAGGCTTGTCTCTACTCTTAGAAACGGTTGTATAGATACAGTCAAATATTCTCCATGTAATGAAGATGACTTGTTTGAATCAAGAAAGAACGCCATCTGTCTCTTCACGCCTTAAACTTACTGAATTTCATGGACATATCTTGATTTCCCAAGTTTTATTTTTAATTTTATTGATTCTCTAAAGTGAAAGGATTATTAAGGAAGTAAGAGAATAAAAGAATGGTTACTCTCCAGGCAAGAGCTGCCCTCAAGTCTTTATAGACAGAAAACCTGTTAGATTTCTTTGGCTCTCTATTCAATTTATAGATGAGAAAACCAAGGCCCAGAGATGCTAAATGAAGCCACCTAAGTGACATGGATCATTGAGTCTCGATTCCCGACTCTGTCTCCCCATCCATCCTCTAGACCTCTGCAGCTCTGCATGCTGGCCTGTCTCACCTGGAAAGCCGAAGAGCAGCGTTTCAGGCCATGTAAAAGAATGAGCCATTCCCTGATATCTGCTCCAGGCTGCTGCTGGGCGGCAGCTTCATCAGCTCTTGCCTGGCGTGGCTCTGCCTGGGAGCGCAGGGCCACCAGGAGAAGCATGGCGGTGAGGAGGGCGAAGGTCCTCATGGCTGAAGTGACCTGGAAGAAGGAGAGCAGGAGCGACAAGTCGAGAGAGGAGTTAGCCTGATTACTATGTCTGCAGAGAGAAGGCTCAGAGACAGGAAACCTTGAACCTTCTCACAGGGAGGTGTGCATCTTGTTGGAGATTGTGTGGGATCCTACTGGTCTCAATGTCCCTGTTTTCTTTCCTTGCTCTCCCAGCTTCACTCTTGTTTGAATCTCTATGTTTAGTGTCTGTGCTGGTTTGGAGAGGATGATGATGAGGATTCCTGTTTCTCACTTTACGAAATATTTACTTTAACCTTTCTAGCAAAGGATAACAGCAGTGATTTTATTCAATGAGGCTGTGCTTAATAAATACCTCTTTTTCCTGCAGATGTCCCTGCTCCTCTCTGTAGGTCTACACCTGGCAGTAGTAAGTATGAATTCCTATCAAGTAAAGAGTCATTTATTGCAGGCTTCAAGGGCTTGACCACACTCATGAAGGCATGGGGTGAGTAGCCTCCTGTAGGGGCCAGTGTGAAGAGAACAATGACCCTATCATATGATAGGTGAAATGAACACTGACATATCGAGGTAAAAAGTTCATCTACAGCCAGAAATTTGTTTCCAGCTCTATAGAGATGTGAATAAGAATTGAAATGGTATATATCTACTGTACTGTACCTTAGGATTTGATGTTTGTATACATGTGATCTTTTATCATATACTATATACACAAATCAACTCAAAATGATCAAGACCCAAACATAGACCTGAAACCATAAAACGAGATGAGAGGAATATATGAAGATGACGCTTTGACATTGATGTTGGTAATGATATCTTTGCTATGACACCAAAGACACGGGCAATAAATGGGAAAAGAGGCAAGTGGGGCTGCCTTGACCCCAAAGCATCTGCACGTCAAAAAAGAAACCATCAAACAAATAATCAACTGAGTGAAAAAGCAACCTTGGAAAAAATGAAAGATAATAGTTGCAAACCCCAAGTGGTAGGAAAGGGTAAATATCTAACACGTAAGGCAATCAAACAGCTCAATAGCAATAACAAATAACCTGATTGAAAAACAGGCCAAGGAGCAGGATCGCTTTCCAAATAAAAGGATGTTTTTAAGGAGCTATTGTCGTTTGCTGGATTTTGTCAAGTAGAACACGTGTAATTAGGAAGGAAATTCCTTGAGTTTCTATTAATTCTGAGCTGGTAGCTAATGCTCCCAGCAGCCCCTAGTGGTTCGACAGAAATGCACAGCAGGGGATTCACTCACTAGGTCCTCTGGGGTGACCCAGGAGTCACAGGTAATGATTGGGGGCACAGCTTCAATGTTCAAACCCCCAACAGGAAAGCTTGGGCTTTGTGTTACTTACAGATCCTCAAGTTAGGCAGAGTGAAGAGAGTGACAGCAGTCCTCTGTCCTGGGTCTCCTGTAGCAAGAGCAGCCGTGCACAAACAGCAGAGGACTTCCCTATTTAAGAGTTATTTGGGATCAGGTGTCCAATATCCCTGGGTTACTTTCCGTTGGGTATGTTAAATAACTGTTTGGCGGGCGGCAGTTGAGAAATTTGGTGGGAAGCTGGAATTCAGACAGAGGGTCCCCTCATCTTCCTTGGTCAGCCCTGGCCAGGCCCAGGCAGCAACCAACGAAGGGATCCATGACTCCTAAGACAATGGACCTCGAGATGGCTGGAGGCTGAGCTTGCTGCATCAAGGGATTACTTAAACCCCCAGGAGAGCCTGGCCTGCATGTCACAGGATACACTCTGTTAGAGAAGCAAGGACACGATTGACATCCATGCACAGGAGAGGATGAGGAATCTTGCCCTGAACCAGCCTCTCCAGTACCTGTGCTCTAACCATAACAACACATCAAAGCCTACTGGCTGGGCTGGGATGTTGCAGGACACATGGGGGAGACTGAATCCCATCTCGGCTTGTGTTTCCAGGCAGGGCAAGTTTTGTTGGGTCGTTAAGGATGTGCACACAGCATGTGGTTCCCTAGAGCAGACTATTGCCTCATTGCTTGGGCAATGGACAGCTTAAGGCTAACCGAGTGTCTAGGACCATCCGGTCCAAGGACTACTGGGTTTGCTCCTTGAGAACTAACGTTCCTTGGAAGTCTCTCGGGGCAGCAAAGGTGGCAGCAAGATGGTGTTAGCTTGCATCACCTGGTGCTGTGTGCTCAATTTCCTTGCTCTCTAGCCAATTTTGGGCAGGCTTATGAGTCTCCATACACACAGCCTGAGTAGGATGATCACTGTTTGCTTGAGATGCACAGGATTTAGCTCCTGTGGTCTCTCATGTGTTATTTGAGGAGAAGCCCTAGGGAGACCAATGCACATTTTAAAATGTACCACTACCAACCCTCTTCCTCCTTCTCCTAGTGAGGTAGATGGGATAAAGTTTCTAGAAATGGGAAAAGAATGCAGTCACTCCTGAGGCAATAAATACCAATGGTGAGGTTTCTGAACCCAGTGTGCAGATTGGCAGCCCCCTGCCGCCATAGGAGGGTCCTATACAGCACTGGTCCAGGAGGCTGGGTGCTCAGGGCCTCCCCTATAGCTCTATGTGAAGGCAGCAGGCATTGGGCTGTGGAGAACTGGGGGTAGTGGATGGAGAGGTGCAGTGTCTGTCTCAACCTAAGTAACGAGGAGTTATCTCAAGCCTTTCTAAGGGTGGTCACTATGGCAGAGCAGTGGGGTCAGCTGTCCCTCTAAGGAAGCAGAGAGTTCCTGATGTGTGGCAGGCCCAGGACCTTCAGCACTGGAGGAAGTGAGCAACAGTCTCATCCCAGCGCAAGAAGAAATTTGGGCTGCTTAGGGAGACTGAAGCCCTGGTGATGGTTTTATTTCCTGGGGCATTAGTAGGTGCGTGGAGGGGCCCAAGGATGAGGTTATAGGGGCAGAATATGAAGGGGTGTGTTTGCAAGTGAGGAGAATCTCTGGGTTTTGGAAATGTCCCATTTCTGAAAAAGAAGTGACACTCTGACCCGCTTCCTGCACACACAGGACACACTCCAGTCCATTAGCATTTCCACAGCATTGCATGAGTGTTATTACTGGCACAGCTGTTTAGATTCGGGCATTGGGTTGTTACACACAGATCTCCCATATTCACAGTTTTTGCGTAGCTTCTAGGGCAGCCTTACAATATGACTGAGACTCTGAGAGTTCCTTTTGCCTCTTGTGCTGCAATGGGATTACACTGAAGGCAAAATGGTGATCTCAGCAAAATTCCACTCAATGATGTCATCCTTGGGGGTACCCAGCAAAGAACGAGGCAAAGGAAGCAGCAAGGCAAGAGTTTGGATCCTGGACATGACCCCACACTATGTCTTGGGGATGGTGAGGTCCGTACCTGTAGAAGAAAGAGAGGCTGGTTGGGGGTGACCTTGTAGTCAAAGTGATTTTCCTCTACCAGGGACTTAAACAAATAAGTAAGCAAAAAGAAATGACTCTTTAAAAAATATGTGCCAGGGCATGAACAGATACTTCTCAAGAAAAGACATACAAGAGGCTAACAAACATGAAAAAAATGCTTTACCTTACTGATCATTAACAAATGTAAATTAAATCCTCAAAGAGATACCATCTCACACTAGTCAGAATGGCTGTTATTAAAAAGTCAAAAATAACAGATATTGGCAAGAATGCATAGAGAAGAGAACAGTTATACATTATTGGGGAGGCATGTGTTCAGGCACAAGTGGCAAGCAGTTTTAGAGATCTGCCAAATAACTTAAAACAAAACTCTGATTCCACCAAGACATGCACTCATGTTCATGCGAGCACACCACAATAACAAAGACATGGAATCAAACTGTAGATGCCCATCAGTGGTGAACTGGTTGAAGAAACTGTGGTACACATACACCATGGGATACTGCAGTCATAAAAGAGAATGAAATTGTGTCGTTTGCAGCAAGACGGATGCAGCTGGAGGCCATTATCCTTAGTGGATTAATGCAGGAGCAGAAAACCAAAAGTGAATTAATGCAGGAGCAGAGAAGCAAACATCACACGATCTCACTTGTAAGTGGGAGCTGCACAGTGGGTAATCATGGACTCATGGACATAAAGGCAGGAAGAATTTCAAACCAGCAGCTCCCCAGAGTGATTTTAGGAGTTCAGGAGTACAGAATGCGCTGCAA